GCACGATAAGCATATATGCTCGTGACAACTCGTGTTATCTTTTTTTTTTTTTTGCATTACTTTTATGGAGTTAAGATACAACGAAGCAGCGGATGTAGTGAAGCGATCTCCGATTCCTGTTGACTTCGTTATGACCGGTCTCGACAGTACTAACCCAAAATTTTTGGGATAGTGTGGATTTGCCTTTTAAGAAGTGTCCTGTACTACTAACAGAGTCCCATCCTGTTTTGAGTGTTGTGAAAGAATTTGTTTATTCAATGTTTCTAATAGTTCAGTCGAGCCCAGATTATATTGAATTCAAAGGGGATCATAAATTAGTTTGATATATCGATAATTTGATATACAAAAATATGTTAACTTAAGCTCCAGTTGAATTCTCCGCCCATCTCTGCTAATACCGAAGGCCGCGACAAACAAAACCTTACCAAATAGAGAATCACAAACACTGCTGCGTTTACGTGACGGTTTTTGCGATCGTTTACGCTGGGCCACAACCTTCACACAGCGTCAACAACAAATCACGAAAATGATTTTAAGAAATTAAAAAAAAGAAAAAAGGGAGTTGCATAAATAAAGAATAAAGTTAAGCAACAAAAATAAAACCTCACTAAATTCAAACAGCAAAAAAAGAAAGGAAAAAAAAAATGTGCAAAGCAGAAACGGCGAAAGAAAAAGGTGAACAAAGGCGTTCAAAGTTTGATTGCTCAACCATTGTTGTCAACACACTCGACTTGACAAAGACATTTTTTTTGCTTATTTTTTTGAAGGGTTAAGGAGTCGCGCTGTGACAGCGGTGTTAAGGGAAAGAGCGCATGCTACCGTTCCAACAGCCGGCACTCCCTGCCCTCCTTACCAGCGCGCGTTTCCCTTCCCCTTACTTTTGCCATCCCCCACTTTTTTTTTTTTTTTACAATTGCTCTTTTACTGTGTAACCCCTTGCGCGTATGCTGGCTTGGTGGTCTGCCAGCCACGCAAGCTGAGCTATGTGCTCGCAGCTGGTGCAATCCGACGGGGGGATCCGCGGGAGAAGCGAACCTTCCGTGCTTCGTTCGCTATATCGAGTGTCTCTGCCATGGGAGTTCGATACAGAAAAGCAATTTTCCTATTCAATTACATGCGATTTTCAAGGTGATGTTTGGACTGTTCAATATAAACAATAAGTTGAAATACCCGGGGTGATATAACCTGGCTTGACTGTAACATCAGCTTTCACTTGGGCACACTTGTTATATACCGGGTGATTCAAGGAGATGGCAAGCTCTTTAAATCGACCGGAAAATTCGGTTTCTTAACCTATCGCGCTACGACTTTGTGCAGCGTTGCCCACAGATGGTGCTTTTTTTTTTTTTTTAAATTTGGAAAGAGCGAACTTACCTGAGGAAAAAGTAAAGAAAGAAAAAGGCTTAGCTCCTATGGAAACGCAGCGACGCCACCGGTCTGCAAACAACACGGCGCCGTTTCGCACTGGAGACAAGGGATGGCGTAAGCGGTCGCGACGCCAACTGCCGCCAACGAACGAGCAGACGACGCCGAGAGCCGGCGTATCTAGCAGACAAGGAACTGCAGTTCCTTGTTGTTACCGCGCCTGTTTTTGTTTCTGCGACTGTCGCCGCCCGCGGAACGCGCTCCGCTTTTGAGTCGAAAAGATTGTCTGCTAAAGACGCTGGCTCTCGGCGCCGTATGCTCGTTCGTTGGCGGCGTTCGTTGCGCCATCTCTTGTGTCCCGTGTGAAACGGCGTCGTGTTGTTTGAAGACCGGTGGCGTCGCTGCGTTTCCATAGGAGCTAAGCCTTTTTCTTTCTTTACTTTTTCCTCAGGTAAGTTCGCTCTTTGCAAATTTTACAAAAAAAATGCACCATCCGTGGGCAACGCTGTACAAAGTCATAGCGCGATAGGTTAGGAAACCGAATTTTCCGGTCGATTTAAAGAGCCTGCCGTCTCCTAGAATCAACCGGTAGAATTACTCATATAACGGATACTGTGCAATGTACGGCGAGCTAAAGCAGACATGTATGCGTTGGCCTCTCTTTCCGTCTATGCAGTCAGCTATTTACTATGTTGTGAAGCATTGGCTGGACTAGCCAAGCTTTTTATGCCACTTTTGCGAAGGAATGTATCTTTCCTTGCTGTATTGCTTTTGTTGCTAAGGGCCTTATGACATCCATCGTGTTCTAAACTAAGCGATTTCTCGCCTAGAAATTCAGGCTTATGAAAAGCATATACCATTCCAGGCTGTAGCAAACACGCAGCTAATCTGACAGTCAACTAAGAATTCAAAGATGGCAGGCAATGAGGGGAAGCTCAACAATGGTGCATCCATGAATTCTATAACTGGAGAAAAAAAATGTCTTCAGCATGCTGCTAGAAAAAATAGACAATAAAAGTCTGCATGCCAAACTAAGCCACGACTGTGCCATAGCTGTGGTTGTCATGCCATTCAAGTATGTTAATGGTGACTGCATTAACAAAAAAATAAAAAAAGAATTCAGCAGCAGTTTCTGTTGGTAGGGGTTTAGGGGTTAGAGTAGCAGCAAATCATGGTAAGGTTTTTTGTTCTTTTTTTTTTTATCTCCGCATAAATAGAGAGAAGAAAATAAACAACATTGTGGAGCAGTATGGCAGCCTTAAACTAACTGGTATGTTAGAAGTTTCATTCATCTGTCTTATAACTTAGTAGGGAGATTTAAAACTATCACTGACATTAAACTGAAGAAACTTACAAAATAGAAAAGCACATTCTTAAAAACAATTTAACGTGTTCACCTTGGGGTATTTATAAGAACCATAAGATTAGAATGTCAATAGTACCATTCTTGTGTTGCATATGACCTCAAATTTTAACTCTCTAGTATTTACAAGTGTTTCTGGGCATTTCAAATTGTCAGACGGTTCAAGAAGCATCCGACACATGTCGAGATACTTTTGGGTATGTGGTTGTTGTGTTATGGCCCAAAACAATTTCTAGTCGTAACACAGCACTATGCAAAGTGCTATTTGTGCTCAATTAAAAACCAGACAGGTTATTGCATATAATTATAAAGATTTTTTTTTTTTTTTCTCCTTTCAGTTACTCTAAGTATTTATGTTGCATGGTATTTGTAGTTGTGTTTATATTATGACAATCCACGAAAAAGGGTGCGCAAGAAGTTCAGCAGGCATAATGCTTTAGCTCTTTCAATAGAGACTTTTAGAATAGGAAGCCCCAACATTTGGGTGCCCCTAAGGAATTGGGGAACCCAAACACAATAAGGTTGGCGTCGCCAGCTTGTAGAATAGGGTTTTTGCAACGCAGCATAGCGCGCTTACGTTTCCCGCTTGCAGCGCCAATGCAGCCAACAAGCGTAATAATCAATAAATAAAATATTAAAAAACAAAACTTGCTTAGCAAGTACATTTTGTTTACAAATAATAGTTAAGGTCAAACCAAATCAATCCGGCTAAAACTAAGGACCATCTAAAATCAGTATAAATATTGTTAGTCATTTTCAGCCAAAAAAATCCAACCTGTAGCACACTAATTTAGCGTTTGTGTGCCGCATTGGCCTTCAACTACGCTGAAACTGACACAAATGCAAGCGAGCATATTCTGCGAGCAGCTGCTTTATCGAGATCTGAGCTGGAGCGACTTTGAAGCCTTGGAAGACCTGTTTTTAAGCTACAGGTAACGTGCCACGAACGAAATCCAGTCGGAGTCTCGGAGTAATGAGTTGTCGCCATGTCAGCAGTTGCAGCGTCTCTTTAGGCTTAGGAATGGTCAGAATCGGAAGACAAATCTTTAAAAGAGGGCGAGCTCACCGCTCATTTTTTGTGATTTGAGCAAGATAAAGTGAAGCAAAAGCCAGCTGCACTATTCACTGGCAATGAACGCAGCAAATACTCCAGCGACCACAACGAATTTGCTCTCAAGCAAACGGAAAGGGTGCTGTCGTGTTTGCCGACACAACCAGGCCCCAGGCAAATAGAGGTTCCTTGCTATTTTTCGAATTTTGTGTTAGGGCCGGTGCCAACCCGAAACCCAAAACGCAGTTTGAGTTTGGCGCATGCGCAGTGGGAAGTCACCATTTTTTAGGGGCCCTCCAAGCTTTGGGGCCCCCTATTCTAGAACTCTTTAATGGCTAAGACGCAGGGTTTCAACCAATGTAATCCAGCAGTCTAGACATTTTTTCCCTCCAAGCAAATGTATGCAAATGCTCCACACTGCCGCGCTACCAGAAGCAACCTTAAAAAAAATGGAAGGCAATGTGGGCGAGCGAGGGCAGACGAGCGAGCAATCACTGCAGGGTTTGTGTCCTGCGAAGCATAATTTGCACAAGAAAAGAAAACATGTTCGAGTCATCTGATAATTAAACTGTTACAAATTGAGTGCTGCGGTGAAGTGACGTCGGACGCAAGCTGAAATTGTTATCGTCAGCAATTTCACGTTCGAAACGATCAACGACCAGCGCTTCCTTCTGTAAATTTCAAGTTGTTCCGCCGCCATGCACAGGCTCAAATCCACCGGTGGCTAAAAGAGCACTTGGTACGGCACTTTAGGGGCCGTGAGACCTCTCTCACTGCCCATGCGTTGACGAGTTGTCGTCACCGCAATACTGCCCCATCGTGCAGTCGCGAACGGGTAAACAAACTCTCCCCGGTCGATAATGCGCACTCGGCAGAGAGCTGCCACGTCCCGTCCATACGGTAGCTAAAAAAGCTTTTGCTCTTGACCGGGACCAAATTCAGAATCCAGGCTGGCTAAAACTGATGCATGCATATCGGCACGCCGCTTCGATACGCATGTCAGATCTGCGTATCGCTCAATCTCTATAGTTGGACACAGAAGCACGAGGTACGGCGCGTTTCGAGCATTTTATCATTGCCACGCATCCAACGAGATGCGGCATCAACCGATAAGAACGCCAAATCGTGAAGTGTGAACATGACGTGCCGAGTCCCGCCTTTCTTAGCCCATCAGTTAATGTGACTGGCCTCGGGGTACCGGAGGGCGGGAGGGGTACTGACCTCCCAACAGGGTCCGAGACGGCGCTGTCCAGCGAGGCCGAGGACTTGGCAGCGGCCTGCCCGAGCAGGGTCTGCAGGGTGCAGGCCCCCTGGGGCTGCCCCGACAGGGGGATGCTCTGCAGCACCACCTCGTACTCCACAAACTCCGAGCGGGGCAGAGAAAGCACCTGGCGCTCCTCGTCCGGCAGCTTGGCCATCATCAGCAGGGCCTCCTGGTTGTGGATCGTCACCCCCTTGGGACGCTCCTCCTTCGGAAGGTTCTGCACGGGGGGTGACGTCCGTAGAGTTTGTACAACGAACCTAGAGGAAGCCGCATCTGGGTGATGTGGTCACCGGCGCTCTCCCCTTTTCCCTGATCGTGGCATCAATTAAATGTTCACACTCACTTGCCTAGAAGAGGAGCTTCGCCGTTTTCTGTTCTATTTTGGCTGCATCGGGATGGCGGGGTGTAAGGGCGGATGCCGGTGGTCCCAATAGACCCGGATTTCTAGCGAGCATTTATTAAACGCTAAGAATCACAAAAATATCACTCGCAGGAACGGTATACCTATACTCATTTCGCCTTAAGAACTGTAGTAAAAAAAGTCTGGCTCCTTGCGGAGAATTACTAATTTTCCCCTTTATGTAGAGAGTTAAAATATATGCAGGTGCATTTTAGACTAGATATTTGTTATGTTATCAAGAAGTACACGTTCCAAACGCCAAAAGCACCGCTTCTTCCTATGACAACCAAATCTTGTAAGAATTACTTCTTGTGGCGTATGAACAATGCGCAAGACCTCCTTTTTTCTTGAGGTGAAAATGAGTATAGACTTTTCCAGCTTCGTTTTGCGAGAAAACACCCGCGCCGTGCAGGGTACAAAAGTTCGAAGAACAATTAGATGACTTGAATCGCGTTGCGGCAAAACAAACATGCCCGACCTGTCGTCTGCTTTTTTTTTCTGGACTTCTGTCGTTCTCTTTCTCATTCGTTCTCTCGGATAACCAATATTGGCACTTACAATTTGCTGCTCTCTGCTCTTAACCCCCCCGGGTATGTCGGAGGTGGTCTGCAAGTGTCTGGGTTCCAGCGGCAAAAGGCCGGCGGTATTGCCAGTTGGTGGCCGACAAACCGTTACGCAAATCAACACGCATCCTCTTGTGCCATGTGTAAGGGACCCCGGGAATCTCGAGAGCTGCACTGCTGCATTGTACCGAGACTGACGGGATGTCGAAGGAATGGTCAATGAGGCAACGTGTATAGTAAAAACCCACATATACTACACAGTTTCTCTTTCCCACATTTGCCCATAAACTTTGTGCTCGTATTATACGTGGATCTGCGGGATACGTGCAGACGGGGGTTCGCACAGTTTCGGTTTCCAGCGATCATCAACGGCGGCGGCGAGTTGTGCGGTTGTGCCACTACCAGATCTCGACGGCATACGGTACACAGTCGCCAGAGTTTCCGTCTCTTTGTGTCCCAACGTTGGCAACATCTACCGTTCTCCCCACACATCTTGCCAAGCTGCATGATGACAGCATCATAAAAATAATACTCAATTGCATTTAAAAAAAAAAAGTTATCTCGGTGGTTGGGAGCATTGGCAGCAGTGCAGCGAGACAAAAGTTTGTGACGAAGTAAAGCTACATTCATGGACAAAGAAGACTGAAACGGGCCCTTTTCACGTGCAAGGGCATAAGAAAACGTTTCTAGGGACCCAAGGAAGGATAGTTTGCCACGACCAATCTGGGTCCGATAAGGTTTATAGCAAGGTTCACACACCTCACCATAAACATTGAGCTGCTGCAGGCAAAGGCTATGCACCTATGTGTTCACGGGTCGCATTATACGTAGATCAGACTTCTTTTCTTTTTTTCGCAGGTCTCAGATTTCATCTTGCATTATATGCAGGTTTGCATAATACACGGGTTTTTACGGTATGCTTAAGTGGCTATTCTTACTTTAAGTTAGAGGAAGAGTAACACTTCCGAGAAAGCGTAACACAGATTGGATGCTCGTGGAAAGGCTGCAAAGGGAGACTAGCAGACGACAAGAAGAAAGCGCGCTGTATTAAATGAAGCTGGTCGCACAAACAAACATTTTGCACACTTTTAGAGTGCCTTCAAGTGCATCGAAGCTTGACTACAGTCGCTGCTCGCCACGCCATTTGCTCGGCCGCAACTGCTCGGGTCATTCTTAATTAGAAATTACACTTCTCAACTTGTACAAAGCTTAAAGACTAATGGAGGTGTTTTGTAAGCCATGTCTAAGATGGTGAAAGCAGTTTTGATGTGGTGCATTGTACATACATCATTATCACAATTTCCATAATTCTCCACTGCACTCATTGATGGTGCTGGCTATTGTCTGTAGACACCCGATTTCACCACCCATTTGAACGAAACCCCAAGACTCAAAACAAAGTTAGTATCTTTTCTACAATCCTTCTCTTAAAACTGTTAGGCTCAAAATAATTGCTTATTAAGGTGCATTTAAGAATTTGTCGTATCTTTGTCAAACGCACGTAACCTAGCCATCAAAGAGGCAACATTACTACTCGGATTCTAAAAGAAATGCACGGCACCACAAGGCACTGTTGCTAAAAGTTGGTGTGTGTATGTATATACAGCCTGAACTTAGCCTGTCTCAAAGGGCGACTTGTCTCTCGGCTGTAGGTGAGCAATTTAGCCAGTGCAGTACAACCGCTAGCATGGGGTCTTTAATGTGCACCACGCAGTAGTGGTACACGACCACATGCCGGTACGATGCTCATCCAGATCAAAACAGGCAGGGATGGGGTTGAACCCAGGGCCCCTGGGTTCTGCAGCGCGAGGCACTGTTGCTTGTAATCACTTTCACGGTTTTATTTGTAGCCAAAGCTCGAAGGTTGGAAAACAACATACTACTCAGTAAGCTTATCATGGTTCGACAGGTCACAAACGCAGAAGTAAAGTTGTATACATTCGAGGCGATGACATGTCACAAGACCAATATGCTAAACAAGCTCAAAAGTGCAGCTTCTGAGCAAGTCTGCCATTCATTCCACATGTGCACTTGGAAACCTATATTTCTAACCAACCGTGTGGAAGCAAGTCTCTAGAATGTTATACATGAGCAAGAACAAATGGGTACAATTACACTTTGTATTTCTGGAAATGCAATTAAAAGAAGTGGCACAAGTCAACCTATATCATCATGTCTACATGTTCACCCTGGTATTGGTATACTGGCCACAACAGGCCCCATTTAATTTGATCTGCACAAGCACCAAAACTGTGCCTGTACCTTATTATGCAAAAGGATGCTGACAAATCATGCACTACCGGAAGATCATGTCATCTTCGTCAAATGCTAGGCACACTGTGAACAATCTGAGAACCCAACACCTGTCTCCCTCAACTGGTCTTGGCACTGACACAGTAAAGCACTGCACTGCCTATCGACCTTGTAAAGAATAATGCACATGCTAGGGAATGTTTACCACACAGCTATATGCATAAATAGATGATCAAATGTTCTAAAATAGTGCCTAAACTGGAAGAACACTTACTTATGGGTAGGGAAGGACATGGAACTTTGGGAGTTCGGGAGATCCCCGAGTCCCCAAAGTTTTGTTGCTAGTCGCCCAGTTTGGGAACCCCCCCATTAAACGATGCTGAAGAAGGAGGTATGGCAGTTCTTGCACCCAAAATTGAAAAGGCTGGTGAAGTCGATTGACACCAAATGGCGCCACTGGACAAGGAAAGGCAGAGCCTTCCTCGTGCGACAACAGCCTCTGGTGCCTGCGATAATTCCAAGCTAATCAATCTTTTCATACCAATTTTAATAGAGAAACCGTCCACGCATAAATGTAATGTTTGGTTTCTTAGGATGCTCAGAGCCCATAGATTGAGTTATGACCATAGATAGACTACTGCAGAAAGTGGTTCAGTGCCCCTTTATGGGGGTACTCACAATGTCGTGAAGCTTCTCCAGCTGCTCGTCCACGATGCCGTAGACGTACAGGGTGTGGCAGCTGTTGCTCCCAACCACAATCAAACTCGAGGAAGGCTGCGGGAGAGCAGGGGGGCCTCGCGTAAGGACAGCGCTATGGCAGGGGCAAGCCGCGGGAAAAGGAGGGAGGCGATGCTGTGCACAACCTTCATATGTCACGTCGCTTTCCCTTTTCCTTCGCTTCGAGTCGGGTTTTAGATACAATCAGGTTTTGTCACGTCACAGTTCAAACTACATTAACTTTAGAAGTCCATGGACAGGTAAGGGGCACATTACACGAGGTAAGCTTGATCTCCAATAATATCTTAGGGCACTGGTCTCCTTAATATTTCTCTACCCTCGTTGTAATCTCGGAAAAAAGTTCTTGAGGCAAGATACGAGTTTCAGAACTCTTTCTTTTTTATTCTTTATTCCTTACCGCTAGTAGACACCTCGATATGGCCTATAATGAGCATATCAAAATCAGCAAATAAATTATAAATAAGTGTATTAATAGAAAAATCCTAGCACAAAATATCCAGTCTAGACATGAATCAGTTCATACATCACTTCAGGGAAATTCTTTCAGTTAAATGTCTATGTTGAAATTCAGTGATTTTTTAAGGTTAGCTCTGAACTCTAAAGCTAACGAAAGTTGTGAGGATAAAAAATTTGTTCTCTGAGCCTACATAGTCATACTTTTTAGTTTTGAATTTTTGTGAAAAAAGAAAGGCCCAGGTTTATGCAGTCCTTCATGACAATCTGGACAAAACCAGCCAAAGTTTAGGGCACTAGCTGGGCAAAAACAAAACCGAAGTTGAAACCCAGTTGCAAATTTACTTCACCCATGATCTCTATTCATTGTCAGTGGAGGACTGGAGAAAATACTGAAGCAGACAGCTGACACTTTTTTAACCATATTGCATTAGCATACACAGTGAAGTAACTTATTTCCAGAGCAAACAGCTCACGTTCTAAGCTGTCACTAACGTGCTGAACAAAATTGTCTACCCTCCTTTATTGCAGCTTCCGCTGCAATAAAGGAGGCTAGACAAGGTGCAGGCACCTGTAACAGTCTGGGAGGCCACAGTATTTGACTCTATCTTCCATGCACATCCATACCTGGTGCTAATTGTACATAACTGGGACGGGTCGATTTCAACACTTTCAACACCATAAAGAAATCGAATTAGTGTTTTGTTTTACAAAAAGTTTTTATGAGCTCACACTTCTTTTCCTCCTCAGCCATTCTAATTTCTCTCAAACAAACAAAATAAGGATTATCTCTAGCCAATAGGCACTCTGCTTGTTAGGCTTGCAAAGGCTAGAACAGTGCGATAGCTCAGAAGTACCAAATTAGAAAATAATACTCCATGCAGCCAGTGACCACGTCAAGTAATGCATGCACCACAAGGCCAGACGGCATCCTACTGAAAAAATCGCACGATGAAGAAACAGATCATCCCAGTTCTTTCTACAACAGTCAATATTTCTAAAATAAAGCATCTATCATCTCTCTCATGGTTCCTTTAAGGTGAAGATTAGGCACCAACAGATCTACATACAAACTCTTTCTTACTTTTCAACAACTACTAGTTCACAGCTGGCACCATTATTTCATTCAGTTGCTCGTGGAAACCAGGCAACGAAGCGTACGGACTGGACACGTACGCCAGCATCGAGCCTCCAAATATGCTGCTGCTTGCTGTGATCGTCGCAATTCACCCACATGAATATTGGGAAACCGGAAACTAATGTAAGACGCCTGCTGCACCCTCCGCGTACGAAAGACGGCAACGTTCGGGATGAAGGGGTGGCCTCACCTCGACAGCCAGCAGGTCTGGAGAGAGAATCCCGTAAAGCTCGTCCCAACTCCTCACTTCGGGTTTGTCCGTGTCGGGGTTCCACTGCAGCAGGAACAGCTGCGAGCTTCCTTCCAGGGGACCCTGAACCACGCAGAGGAGACGGCAACGGCGCTCTGTAGATTCTGATGCTATCATTGCACAGCAATGTGGAAGTGCCCACCCAGATTTCGGCACAGGCCGGGTAAAATGAAGGGCAAGCGCTCGTTTGGTTAGATCGGCAGAAAGGCAAACAACAATAACCAGGGTTCCATGTCTTTGGGGTTTATTTCTCTTCGAATCTTTTATTTATTTATTTTTTTTCTCACACAAATTCTAGGTACTACGGTGCTCACTTCTGGTGCTTGACAAAGGATTGGCGTTTGTCTGGGCTTGCTTTGAACAAACCGGAACAACCTCTGAGGAATATACGCGTGACTCAAATGCTCAGAAAACATCCCAATCCCGATAAGGGAAGGAAACAGAACAAGGGGTGACAATGGCACAGAAAAAAAGCAGCCTCGGGGACAGTTCAGCGCGAGATGCCTTCCAGGTGAACATAAAATGAAGTTTGTATACTCCGTCTCAACCTACGATAGACTGATGCCCAATGCTGCAAGCCGCCGGGTCCAATTATGAGCCTGTTAGAAACCATGCGGTATATTCGCTCCGTCTTACGTATCATTGCACCAAGAAGTGCCATGCCGAGGCGCTCTTTTCGTCTACTTATCGAGCCTTAGTGGTGGCTTCGTCTGCTTGCTACTTCTGAAGGGATTAAATATTGCCTAGAAGTGATGTGGCAAAAAGAACCTGGGATATCAGAACCAAAAATGAAGCTGAGTCAGACTGAGTGTTCGACACGGGAGCGTATGCTCAAAAACACATGGGGAAGGGAGATATGGGTCCAGATACATACACAAATATTGGATTGGATTGTTATGGCTCAGGCAAAACAACTTTATGTCAGTGAGGCCTGCGCACCCTTCAACTTCTCCAATCAGTTTACGAAATATGGCATGCATGTTTATTAAACTAACTACCTTGTCCATTTACTTCATCAATATAAAATACAGTGCTATCCAAACGGAGAGCCATACACATAAGGTTAATGCTCTTCATACTCTGCATATCGGAATTTCTTTCACGCACTCTTTTGCAATGCAGATGCAAGCTTTTCCGAGGTAGTGCTCCGTCCACCAGCCTTCGGGCCCTAAACCATCATAGGGTGAGATGGGAGTATAGTTAAGAGACTTTTCCTGCAAAGCTCATTTAAGAACAGCTTTAATTCGGAGGGGGGGGGGGGGGGGGGGGGGGGGTACCAAAAAAATGGGATCCTAATGATATAGGTCAATTCACGGCGCCATACGTGTGTTACGTTGCGTTACGGGAGCTTATGCCTGCTAATGTTGGGGGTTGCCGGAACAATAGCATTTCCTATTAAACATGCCGACCAATTCAATGAGCAGCTATACGTGCGAAATACGAAACACGAATGTCCCGACGACTCGTAACGTAACATGAAAAAACGTAAGCAGATGCCTGCGTGAGTGGGCCTTTCCACTGCCCCTTGCGGCCCCATTGGCCAGAAATGGGCCCGCACCGCACGCACCTCGGTGGCGGCGTGTATATTGAGCAGAGTCTCGAGGGGCCCCCGCGTGTGGTCAAGGAGGTAGCGCTCCGAGCGGCTGCGCACCACCATGCTGTCCAGGGGGAGCTCCACCGTGCACACAAAACGGTCCCCTTCCAGGCTCTCGATGCACGACACCCTGACGAGAGGGAAAGGATGGGGTCGCAGTGTTGCATGCCACACCAACGTCGAAACGGGCTTGCCATGCGTAGCCTCTTGGCAAGAGGCTGCGTACGCCCACAACTGCCCCGACATACATCGAGGGCACGACACACTTCAAATAAAACTCAAAAAGCAGTTTTGCACGTTTGGACGCCATAACTTGGCACAAAGGTGCGGCACATGTCACCTCACTACCGTTATATCTCGAGTGATAGCCCACCTAAAATCAAAAGCAAATCGGATGGCTAACTTTTGGTGTGCCATAAAAAAAAGTTGAAAAAATGCTAGTTTTAGATTTTGTGACCCTCGAAACTTGTGATCGCTGGAAGAGGCGATGAACAAAAGATGGCTGTCCTTCCGAGTCAGCAATGGTCGCTTATCTTCTGCCGTGGTTAAGTAATGCCATTTTTGTCGAGGTCACCATTGGCCAGAGCCTTGCAATCACTGGAAGTAAACTATCTTTCGGATAGCAAATCATGCCAAAAAAAATTACAGAAGTACACTTAAAACTACCGTAATATCCCGAGTCATCGCCCACCCCCCTACCGCCTGAAATTCGTTAAAAAAGTGGGGTGGGCCATGTCTCGGTGGGTGAGCACAAACACTTGAAAAAAAGCGGAAAAAACGGCCTATTTTTCTCTCCGTATCTAGCGCTGATGCACAAGAGATACATCAAACTCAAAACTCGATTTAGTTTCATTGTTTTATAGAAAAAAATGCTCACGAAAGAATATTTTACTATAGCGAAGTCCGTTGCTTGCATACGCGCTAGAAACACCGCCGATCTGCATATAGCGCAAACGTTTGTTCCGTGAAAGAATGTCACCACTATGTTCTCCTAGTTAGTAAAAAAAAAAAAAAGAAAGAAAAGTCTACAAGAAAATAGAAAACCGACCAGGCGCAACGAGCGAGCGGACCAAAGAAGCGACCAAGAGCAATGCTGGGAAAGCGGGAAAGCCGGCGGTCGCGTTGGCAAATACTTAGGCGTCGGGCAAGGTCGGGCGCCTTGTCAATTGTCAATTGCAAGCTCTTGCACAACTTGTTTGGTGCGTACATACGTGCGTCCGTGCAGGGCGGGCTATCAATGCACAGTTGGGACGCTCTGCAAACGTCTGTGTAGGACGTTCCAGCAAAGCTTTATTTACGCTTTGGCTTTGCCTAAAATATTGCACAACCGCGGTCGCGACGGGCGGGAAGAAGGAGCGGGTTCGCGGTGACCTTATTTCGGCGGAGACAGACTTTGACCTAACACTCCGCGGTTACGTTATCAAACTCTTATTTTGTTATCTCCATCCTTTTTTTTTTTTGCACGGATACACGATTACTTAGGTGTCGCTCACGGAGGAAATGCGTAAACAAAAAGAAGTGTCTTTACCTCCTTCGTTTTACTTTGTCACGGACGTCCTCCAACTGTGAGGTCCGCAGCCGCGTCATTCGGGTAGGATGAGTGTTCGCGGATCGCAGAGTCCGCGCTGGGGTATTTGAAGGGGTGGGCGATGACTCAGTGTTTTTTCGGAAATCGATATTGGCCCAAAAAATGGGGTGGGCGATGACTCGGGGATGGGCGATGACTCGGGATATTACGGTAATTAAATGTAGGAATGTGAAAGCATTCCTACACGCAGCACGCCACGCTGTCCGCCGCACAAAGGACAGCGGGCACTGCGGACAGCGGGCAGCGCACTTGCTCCTCCACGGGTAAAGACGGCCGGCAGCGCGCCCCGCTCCTGAGCGGTGCAACATGGCTGAAGCAGAGTATAGAACGCGTGAGGAGCGAGAATTTTCCGCTCCCCCTAACCACCCCCCCCCTTTCCCGGGCCTCCTGCCATGCCTGACACATGACTCAAGAAAGGGGATAGACGGGCTGCCGAACGCACAGCACACCCTCTTTAGTTGCCCATTTTTCGCAGTCACAAACAACGCCGGCTGCACTCCATGGACATCATATTATTGCCCGTTTTTTCAGAGTCACATGGGACAGTGAATACTTTCGCATTAATAGGGGTGGGCTATCTTTCGGGGGTGGGGCATCTTTTGGGATATTACGGTAGTAGTTGTTATGACAGGCTTTTAGTTATGAGGGACAAGCGAAATAAATAACGGGTCACTAGTTTGTGCTATCTGTCTCTCTCCTGCTTTATGCAACACCTTTGCCTACAACAACAATATTGTAAACAACCCAATTTTCGTAAGGACCTAATTTTTGTGAATTTCAAAATTTGCAACACATTGTGAAAAATTTATCGAGCGAATATTTCAGCCTGCGGTAACGAATACAGAGAATATCACTCCAAATTGCAAAATTTTGTGGACACAAAATATTCCCGAAACACTCACTTCGCGAAATATTGAACCCTGGAAAATTAGGCTCTTTGCGACATATTTGGGAGGTGTCGGTGTTGTTTGTCTGTTGGGAAAACTGTATGCGTCCCTTCTTCATTCTTTGTGCCTCACCTTTCTGTTTTAATTCAAATGCAGAAAGCATGTCACTTACCTCTCCAGTCCAAGGATGACCTCCATATCCGTCATCTGAATGTCTGAACATGGAATATTGTAAAACTGAAAAGAGAAGCAAAAAGCACACAATCAGAACCTTGTTCGCATTCAGCAAAAACACCGTAAAATGACTATAGGCCTGTTCATAGATACATTGTTACACAATCTCCTTCCGGGTGGCGTCGCTTGACTCGAGCAGTGCTTCAGGAGATTGTAAAGCTTGCCTTAGCTGCTATGTATGATTCCTTGCCGACGGCCTGCATTATAGGAGTTGCACATTCCAGAGTAGCTATTTTTAGCGGGCCTACTTGGGCTTTCTTATTTAATAAAAAATACAAGATACAATAGAAATAATTGCTTGAGTGGTCTATAACCGACCTTGAAGGTTGCTCGGCTTGTGCGAGAGAGTATAACATTCTAGATAAAGCAAAGGCCTTTACCGTTTTTCTCTGTAAAGGCCAAATCAAGAGAAAAATGTTCTTTGATTGTCTTTGTACGATATCTAGTCATTACCCAATGCTGCCAAAACACAACCCGTTTCATATTCTATGGCTCTTTGCTTTCTGACTTATAGCACAGGGGATATTTACCAAGGAGCTGCAAGCCGTATGATGAACCGAAAAAAGCCACAGCTTGGTAACTTCTCTTAATAATTATTTGCAAGTACTATTGACTACTATACATAGTAACCAAGGTAGAAGAAATGGCTAAGCAAATACACATAAAGAAAACAATGCAAAAAAATTGCAATTACACATAAAAATGCTAAAATTTATAAACAAAAATAATCATAGTAGGAAGTTGCCTAGCTACAACAGAAGAACTTTTTATGGTGGCACCAACCCCATGCAGGCAAGCCCAAGCTAACGCATCGGTCGAGTTTCCCCATTTAGCACTAGCGTGCCAGGATCCAGTGGCTGACACTGCTCCTAGCATGCCTAGCATCCTAAACTGTACAGACGTTTGAAATTCTGATACTATCGGTATATCGCACGTATACGCTGATGTACCTAGTAAAGACTTCTATGTAAATTGACCTTACCACAAAAAGCTCCTACTGTCCATTCCACACATTATCTCCGCATGTAATTTACTGAGACAAGGAAGTTATCACTGAACCAGTATCCTTGCAGCAAAGCACTCACCATGAGGGTGGACTCCGTTGCCAAAATCAGTCTTTTCCCATTTTTGCTCCAGGTTCCACACACATATCTCGATCTGAAACACACATAAGGAGACACAGTAAAATTATTCTTAATCCTGGAAGTTCCTGCAATGCATAAAGGCATTACTACAGGATGAGGTAAGAAACGATAAAACATAGTGATGTTCACGGAGAGTATCATCTTCCATCGCAGTATTTTCTAACAATTTGAACAAATTAGCTAGGGCTAAGAAAAAAAAAACTCTTCAGCAGCATGTTCTGAGAACATCAACTCATAGTCTTTTCTTGCTGACACACAAAAAGATGCTTCAAAATATGACCTGCATTTGTCAGCCCATTAATACAGAGTAGAAATGATTATTAGGTTAGAGGAAACAACGTAATAATAGTGAAACAAATGACACTCACAAAAGTAAGTGTCCATGTTGTATTTTCTCAAGTGCACTATTATTCTTTCAGTCTCACAATTACCTTCTCCAATGTACTTCCTGCTTCCTATTTCACGGGGTATCATACTTACTAGAATGTACCAAGAGTTCTTTCTAAACATTTCGTGCTCTAAAGTTGACCCTCAGAATATAATTGGATGGTTGCAAAATTAACTTCATCGGTGGTGCCTTTTTTAAATACCTGTGACATTCTGAGTTCCCGGAGGTTTTTCAGTTCTATGCTGGCAATCTGTTGATACTCGAAATAAAGACCATAAAATTCAGATCCAAATTCATCAAACCTGCTGTATGAGCCATTTTTTTGGTTTTAACCTACAATAGTAACTCAGTTAAGGTATCTCAATCAGCTCGACTGTTTCCAAGCTACTTTTGTTCCTGACGAGCGTTCTAACCGAACTGAATAAGGTACCATAAGGGTGTTCTATTAAGCCTCACGTTATACTTCTGTTTTTATTTCTTCTCCCAGGGCAGTATGCCAGGTTTCCTCCTGCGTTATAAATGTGGTCACACTAGAGTCGAATAAATATGACAATAAAAATTATAAAACAACATCTTCGAGGCAAGTGTTAAGAAAACATTCCTTATGTGTCGAAACCAAAACTTGTTTCGAACCCTTCCCCCTTCAAACTTGAGGGCTCGCTCGTACCCAGGGCAAACTATCGGTCAGTGCAGAGCAGTTGGCTCACCCAGCGAAGGGGGTGATGGTCTTGACTTCCTGCAGCTCCGAGCTTTCTTCGTTGACTATGTAGATGCGGGCACACTCCTTGAACACCAGGACAAACACGTCCTTCTCGGGATGCCACAGGCACCCTGCAACAACAATCACACACGCACCTCGGTGAAGGGACGACCTTGCCTCAAACCGTCGAAATGTTGCACAAGACGTCGACTTGCAATTACATCCAGCTTTCACCATTTGGTCCCGACAATCTAGTGGCCGTGGACCCTCCACGAATGGTTTGCAGTTTCTACGAAAGTTATATACAGTCTAAGCTCGTTATAACAGACCTTGATTTTGGCCAAGATTTTGGTCTGCTGTAAAAACAGTATGTTGTATGCAGATATGAAGTTGAGTCAATGGTATGTAGAGGAAAGCCAACCAAACTTTACAAATCAGTATGTTATACCCAAATGTCTCTTGTAACCAGGTCTGTTGTAATGAGCTTAGACTGTAATATGGTACCGTATACACCTCCGACATTTCCAATGTCATTAAACTAGATGTAAAACAGCACGAAAAGGACCAGAACTGACAGGACCAAGTGCTGTCCTGTCGATTCTCGTTCTTCGTCCGTTGTCTTTGGCGCCGTCTTACGGTATGCTATCATACTGACTAGCCCGACTTTCCATCCTTTTAAGCTATAAAGACCAACTGCAGAAACCTACGTCCCGACATTTCAAAATTAAATTACGTTGCTGCAACAAAACAATGATGGATATGATATGTTTTGTTTTCAAAAAGCGACATGCTGTAAAAGCTCAGGGTACACCCACTCTTCAATGGGGATTATTTGGTCTCAAAATGATCCGAGGTGCAATAGCGCCGAAATTCCTCCGAGAAAATTTATGGCTCAAAAATACCTGCAGGGGCACTCTCGGTGCAACCGGCTATTAGGTTGACTCAAAGTCAAATTCACTATACGGACGCTAAAACTGCGGTATAGCGGCCAAAACTCTTCTCCGACCGGTGCGTTTACCGAATTTTAATTTCGTCCCCTCGGTTTCTGCCTGTGGCAACGTAGCATCTGGGGAATGCCGCGGTTTACCACAATCCCAGTGGTGGCACGGCAGAGAAAGTGAATACAGCAGGCACCCGTTCTGTCGTGACTCACTTTACAGCCGGCCAGTCTGGGGATGCTTAGGCACCCGTGGGTTGGCACGTCACGACACCGTGAGGCACCTGCACCCACTCGTCTCTGCCGGCGCTTCTACAACCAACCACAGAGATTGCGACGACCCGTAGCTTTCCCCGGCGGCTCCTAGCTGCATCGCTTTATTACCACTCCATGGACACTCCGGTGTTTGGTGCAAAGGACGCTAGGTGTACCAGTTGGAGAAGTGTTCCAGACACCGTAATTGCAGGAAGTCAATCTGTCATCAAAATATGGTGCCTCGCTCCACTCCACAGCGCGTTAACGCCGCAGTTTGCCCCATTATATAATCGGGATTAGACATTTTCATGCAAAACACGATTTTGCCTGGTCGGCATACTTCGAGTATAGACAGCTATAGACAGCCAGTTGCGATATTTACATGGTCAAGCTAGTCAAAAATATGTGGATTGTTGTGATACGACTGTGGAGCTCTCATTACTTCGATACGACTGGCCTAGTCACAAGAGCAGTTCCAATCAGTCAGGTAAGATGCTATGGCTGTTTCACTGGTTTGCTTTGTAGATATCAGGGATCTGTAGCAAATATTATTACACATTCGTAAAGTTGCCAGCCGAAAAGCAAGTTTGCCAAGATGAACGCGGGCCAGAATGAGCCCACACTTATCTTCCGAGAAGAATTAGAAAGTTGGTAGTGTGCAATGCACGTTACAGAAGCGTTAAAGTCAAATTTGGGAGTTTTACGTGCCAAACCAGTGACGGGCATCTGGCACGCCCCAGCGGAGGACTGAGGATTAATTTCGACCACCTGGGGATCTTTTGACGTGCAATTGAAAGCTCGGCCTTCTCCGTAATAAGCCTCCGTCAGATTGCGAGCACCTCGGCCGGGATTCGAACCCGCCACATGGGGATCCGTAAACCGGCGCTAACGCCTCGGAGCCACCGAGGCGGCTTACAGAAGCGTTGTGGAAGCTAATCGTAAGCTCGCACTGAGCAGGAACAAACTAAACTATGGCCGCCAGTGATGCCATTTTCGGCACCACGACGCACTTGAGCAAGGAGGGAGTCAATAATCTTTGTGCACGATTGCCAAAAAGCACTTACAAACTACGGCTGCTAAAATGGGCCGCTGGGATAACTGGAAATGCAGCAGAAAAACACAGCGAAAGAAGTGGCGGTACGAACAAGAAACCTCTTTGAATACGAAGATGACATCAGGGCAGGTTGCTTGACAAATGGCCGACTTGATGCACGCCTGCTGAGAAGCTGATGGTTAATATGAGCTTTAGAGTGGATTGCGGTTTGCCACTATAGTGTAATATTTTGGCAGTGGTCGTATTTGGTCTCCTTAAATCAATATAAGTTATTTACTTTGGCTCGGCTTTTGACCGGAGTCGCCCTTTAAGGTGAAACGAAGTATCAGTCTACTATGGTGGCATCGACCCGAGGGATTGAGAGTAAAAGCACTACTCTGACAAGGGTTATGACAATGCTCATAAAGAGAAAACAAATATGTTTACATTGGTGCACTGTCAAGGAACCTAGGTTAGTTTAAAATGAAATGTTTTTTCACAGGTTTTGCACAAATATATATATATAAAGCTTGACCTTCTACTCCCCGCTTTAAAACAAAGAAACAAATTAGCCTGACTGAATATGCAACAGATTAATTGGTTGCATATTCTGATGAAACATTTAAGTTCTCAACGAGGGCTGGCAATTTGAAATCAAAGCAGACATACACAGAGCAACACTGTTAGCATGAACAGGCAATCAATCATTGTTTTTTCCTGCTTTTGTCATAGAACTGAATCACTGCCATAAAGACTACTAGACTGGTGCAGAGCACTTATTTGGGACTCCACCTTAAGCAGTAAAATTGTGTGCTTCGCAATACCTTGTCCTAATAAAATAAAAAAATGCCAATGTCACGTTTGCGTTAATTGTGTTGTGCAGTGTACAACTTGAAACCCTGCATCCATTGTAGGAACGTTCGTCGGCAAACGTAAAGATCCATCAGTGACAAAAGCAGCTACGTCGCTCTGTTGACAGCAAACACGTTGAACCACGAATCCTCGACCATGTCAACAACCCCAAAGGGTTGAGGAACTGACAGAAAATACCCGCATTCTTCCGTTGCAACAGACGTGCGGTGCATACATTATGACAGCAGCACGGTGCTCCCGCTTGGAACACTTGCGGCGGCTCGGGTACAGGGATGTAATCGGCCGGCCGTCACGCGTCACGAACACGCTTGACGGAGCACGACAATTATCATGGGTGACAAAGGGGAAAGGAGCCAACACTATTCAGAGAGAGACGGGGCTCTGCAGGCACTGTGAGAGTGTTAAACACACGCGCGTGCCAGACTGAGGAGGAAGTCAAGCATGCACCGAAGGGCTTCCAGCCCTCTGAGCCAGCTGGATGCTGTAGTAAACCTTATTTTGAGGGAGGGAGGAAAGACAGGGAGGCTTTTAGATTCCTGTTATACTTTAAAACAATTCTTTACAGACTAGACAAAAATCTAACATTTTGGAAGCGACAAGTGCCACTATTTGGAGAGCGACTGTGAACATGAATGGAAATGAGTCAATTTGGTAAACGGAAAATCTGACTGGAATAATTGCCATTACCCAGTAGCCAGTACATTCCTTATGTATGCCTAAAAGAACTGGGTTCTTTTCATGCACTTTATAGTCGCTATGTACTGGCTACATTTTTTTTCTACTTTTAGAAGAGAAAATTTTGAGCTAATGCAAACTTCAACGTGAAGCAGCGTACAGAAGTCAATTAGCCTTATTGGTGACACACTAAAATGCCACAAGAACAAGAATCAGGGTGACCACCTTCCTTCTAGCCAAACGCAGGACTCGCTGACGGGAGGGGGCGGGGGGAGGGGACAGTATTATTACAACTGTGGCAACAAAAAGAAATCTTTTAGAGGAAATTTATTAACAAGCACGCCACAAAAGTTGACAACATAAAACTCGGCTGTGGCAGACCCCAACGTATCAAAAGGAAAGACAAAACAGTCAATATTTTTCGGCTTATTGTTTTCTGTCGACACTTACTTTTAATAACATGCTTCTCCAAAACTTTAGAACTTTATATTTTTTTCGACCGTTTTGAGTTGCAGGCTTTTTGCCTTGTGTGGCCGTCTTCACTAAAAAAAATCTTTCCACAGCAATAACTGAAATAATTTATTTTTTAACTTTCGGCGAGCAATTCTTGCTCGCAATATTTTGCCACCAAGGGAGAAGGCACAATGGCACATCAATTCGCCTAAAAGAATGACAGTCGCCTCCGGTAATGCTTGGATAAAAAATGGCGTACCATTGCGACTCACATGCTTACAGCGACCTCCGTTCTTCCTCGAGCCCCATTGTTCGACAGCGCCATGAGTTGCGTAGTTAATTTTACGACAGTGTGCAATGGGGGACATCTTGAAGATTTTGGTATTTCTTGCGGGACACGGGACACGAGCCCTCAATGCAAGACAGTATGGGTGGTCGCCCTAACAAGAGTATGACGTGACCATACAAATATAACCATTGGTGACCTTTTCAAGTTCCCTATTTTAATGAAACTCCCCTAACCTTCTTATACAAAAATGTCTCAAATCATTCGCGAGAGCAGAACTGAAAAAAATTGCAGCCTTTCCACTCTGGTGAAGAAGGAAGGCCAGCAGAGCTGTGCAATGGAAATTAATGGCCGGCCACAAGTCGGCAAGCCAAAGTGGAAAGGCTGCCGCCATCTATGAGAGACGGCGGCAACCAGATACGTGACTTGCCGCCGTCGCTCCTAGATGGCGGTAGGTGTCCAGAGTTCGGTGTCTTCATTTCTTTGCGGGGGACACGATCCTGGGGAAACTAGCCCTTAACAGCTCCGCTGTAAAAACTAAAACATCATAATTGTAGAATTGCCCGAGACTGCGGTGACGACAGAAAAACAACAGCCATTTTTCTGTCGTTCCTGTCAT